TAATATAATATAACATAATATAATATAATATAATATAATATAATATACACACACACATATATATATATATATATATTTATATTTATTTATATTTATATTTATAATATATATATATATATGAGGCTTGGGGTAATGTCGGATTGAGGTCTGCAGTCTAGTGCTGAGATGCCTAGATCGGTGGCGAGGGTTAGGGTGGGCGAGCTCTTCAGCTTGAGGGTTGAGGGTTTAGGGTATATGGGTTTAGGATTCTGGGTTTCAGGTTATAGGGGTTCAGGTCCTGGTTGGGTTCAGGGTTTCGAAACGAAACGACTATTGTTGGTAATTCTGCAAGCTTCCATAGTAGCACGGAGTTATGCGGTTGCACCGGCTTGCTAAGGGGCTTTATTAACATAATGAAAGCAACAATGACGGGAGTGATGAACACACGGATAGTTCATAAACCTCCTAAACCCTAAACCCTACTCCTACACCCTAAAAAACCCTAAACCCTACTCCTAGACCCTAAACCCTAAAAGGACCATAAAAAGAAACGGAAGTGTAACAATCGGATCCATGGTCACAAAACACTTGCTGCAGCCTGTTTTTGAAAGGGTCCTAGGTAGGGTTACGGGGGACACTTCCCCAAATCATGTCAGTAATTCCTAACCATTCTACTATAGGTCTGAAGCATTAGGATTTAGGGTTCGAGGTTCAGAGTCAGGGCTTAGGGTCTAGGGTTTGGAGTACTTTATTCCCCCAAAGTCCTCATAGACTTATTCTAGAATATGCCCTGAATCCGTAATATGTTTCTTCAGACCCCTTTTTGTTGCGGGCCTTTCGTGCGACTCCTTCAGCAGGGACTTCACCTGTGGCTCGTGGAGGCAAGCCCGAAAGCTCGGCTTCGTCGTCTTAGCTTCGGGCGCTTTGCTAGGATTTGTTTCTAAAGCTAAAGGAAACTACAGGTGGTGAGTTTAGGGCGTATAGGGCTTCTACAAGTCTATAAGGCTTCCATAAGGTAGAAAGACCTTATATAAGGATCCTACAACGGTAACTACCCACCTGAAAATTTCCTAGATAAAGAGGGACAGGATATGTACACTAAAGAGCGACACGGACCATAAAACGGGTTGCGGTTCAACTACCATGTAGGAACTCAGGGTATAAGGCTTCCAGCTGAGCTTGCCACCCACAAAGTTCACGTGTTAATTCTTTTCTTACACGCTTCGTATGTCTGCTGTCCAACCTCGGTTTAGGGTTTAGTTTAGGGTTTAGGGTACCTAGTCCTGAAGCCATAAGGGACTTGACCCTAAACAAACAAGGCAATTAACCTGAACACCGAGCTCGATAAACCCTGTCATCAAGGTAATGCAGGGTTTTGATCCATCTAGCACCCAGCCCCCTCAAAATCTCAGACCCTATAGAATCCATATAGCACCTTTGTAGATGCACGAACCCAAACCCGTCAACCCCTAAACCCTAAATACTAAACCCTGGACATCCCTGAACCCTGAACCCTGAACACCTAAACCCTAAAACCCCATATCCCTAACACCCATAAACCCTAAAACCCCAAATCTCTAAAACCCCGAATCCTTGAAACCCCAAATCCCAAAAAACACCAAAACCCCAAATCCCCAAAACCCTAAACCCCTAAACCCCGAAACCCTAAAACCCTGAACCCCATATCCATAAAACCCCCCAAACCGCTAAATCCTAAAACCCCAAATCCCTAAACCCCAACTCCGCAAAAACCCAAATTCAAATCCCTCAAACCCCTAAAACCCTAAAACCCGAAACTGCGGACGCCCGGAAGATGAGCCCTAAACCCTAAACCCTAAACCCTAAGTACCCTAAGCCCTAATCCCTAAACCCTAAGTATCCTAAGCCCTAATCCCTAAACCCTAAGTATCCTAAGCCCTAAACCCTAAATACCCTAAACCCTAAACCCCAAACCCTATACCCTAAACCCTAAACCCTAAACCCTAAAACCCAAAGCACCTTGGGGAGCTCCAGGCCCGGAGCCTGCAAGCTCTTAGAGGCTGTCTTAAGGGTTGCGGGTATTTAGGGCTTTGGGTTTAGGTTTTAGGGCTTTAGGGTTTTAGGGTTTAGGGTTTTCGGGTATTTAGGGTTTTTGGTTTAGGGTATTTAGGGCTTTGGGTATAGGGTTTCGGTTTTAGGGCTTTAGGGCTTTAGGGTTCGGGGTTTAGGGTTTTCGGGTATTTAGAGTTTTTGGTTTAGGGTTTAGGCTTTTAGGGTTTAGGGATTAGGGTTTTCGGGTTGAGGGTTTAGGGCTTTTGGGTTTAGGGTTTTCGGGTATTTAGGGTCTTTGGTTTAGGGTTTAGGGATTTAGGGTTTAGGGATTAAAGTTTTAGGGTTGAGGGCTTTTGGGTTTAGGGTTTTCGGGTATTTAGGGTTTTTGGTTTAGGGCTTTGGGTTTTAGGGTTTTGGGGTTTGGGGGTTTAGGGTTTGGGGTTTAGGGTATAGGGTTTTAGGGTTTTGGGGTTTGGGGGTTTAGGGTGGAAAGTATAGGGGTTTAGGGTCCCGTTTTAGGGTCTCTTAAGTTTTTAGGGTTGAGGGGTTTAGGGTTTATGAGGCTTCTTAAGGGTTTAGGCTGGAGGGTTTAGGTTTCTTAAGGGCTTAATGGGTTGAGGGTTAGGGTTTAGAGGTTGTAGGTTTCTTAAGGGTTTCGGGTTGAGGGTTTAGGGTTTAGGGGTTTAGGGTTTAGGTTTCTTAGGGGTCTAGGGTTTCGGCTGCAAGGGCTCTATACCTTAAGGGTTTGGGGTTTAGGGCTTTAAACGGATCTGTAAGGGTTCTAGACAGGGTGTCGGGTTTTGGGCTTAGGGCGTAAGTACCAATTTAATTCCTTTGGGTCCCGAAGGATGAGATGAACTGGGTTTTGAGGGTTGAGATGCACTCTTACACGGCTGCGAATAGATTGGGCTCCATAGGCTTATAGGGCTTAAGGTTTCAGGTTGTTGTGGGAGTTTGGAGGGATCTTGCACGACTTTAAAGGGCTTTGTTTCGCTGTTCAACGCCGGTGTACGGTGTCTTACTTACCGGAATCAGATAGGCCCCACAAAAATGCAAACTATAAGGGATAATACTATCCCCAAACATATAAACAAGTGTACTCATTCCCTAAGCGCTAAGTTCTCAGGTATCTACTATATAGGGTACTATATGTTGCGGCCGGGCCCGGCTCGAGGGCTATGGGGTTCTTGGAGGGTCAGGGGACTTAGTAAGTAGTCTATAAGTAGAGTTATAGGTACCCTAAATGGAGCTACCCCAGTTATAACTCAACTTATAACCGACTTACTAAGTCCTCTGGGCCTCTAAGTTCGGGAGTTGGTATCTAGGGTTGGGTTTACACAGGCAGGGTTCAGGCGTCTGCGGTTCAGATGCGGCTTCGGTCCCTAAACCGTTTGGGGATGAGTCCAAGCTTCTTTGAGAGTTCAGGGTCTAGGCTTTAGGGCTATTCCGTTTAGGGTTTAGGGTTTAAGGCTGAGGGTTTAGGGCTGAGGGTTTAGGGAGCAGGGCTTAGGTATCAGGATTTAGGGTTCAGCGTTTCAAGCTGCTGGGCTTGGGGCTTTTGGGATTGTTGGGTTCAAGGGTCGGTTTAGAGGCTTAAGGGGGTTAACTCTTAGAGGCTTAGGGTTTAGGCTTTAGGGATTTTCGGCTCAAGGCTTTGACGACTCGACCTCGTCAACCAAAAACAAAACACAAAGAAAGAGAGCCCATGCAAGGCCCAGGTGGCTCCTGAACTTTGCCAGCTCTTGTTACAAGCCTTCTACGCACCTTGTAAGTAGAATCTAGTAAGACCCTCATAAGAGGTCATAACACCCTTTCAACCTGCTAAACCCTTTGACAGTCCAGCCCTGCACTGTAAACGCTAAACCCCAAACAAACCCCGAAGACCCCAAACCCTAAACCCCAAATCCGTAAGACCCTACGCCCTAAACCCCTAAGATCCTAAGACCCTAAACCCCTAAACCCCAAACCCCTAACACCCTAAACCCTGAACCCTCAGCTGTAAAGCCGAACCCCTATCCACGACCTTAGATAGCTTAATGCAGGGCCTTACCTGTAGTGTCCTTTGGCGTTCCTTTTTTTTCGGTTTTGGGGTATTGACCAAGAGTTTTTGGTTAAACCAAATTTAGGTTTTAGGGCTTGTGGGTCTTGAGGCCTTTCTCGAAGTTCGGCTTTGTTTGATGGGTTCTACCTGCACATGCACCTCGCCCGGCCTCGCCATCCGAATCAAGAGGCTGACGCATGACCGAAACATCTGCTGTCGTCTGAAGTGTCATCTGAAGATATCTGAAGAGAGCTCGAAGGCATTAAGCGAATGAAGCACCTAAGCTTTCGACATGCATCACGATGTTCTTTCCTCGCAGCTGCGGCGGGTCCTAGCCCCAGGACTGTTTCAGCTCAATTTGATAGAGCTGCAATCTTCGCAGAGAGGAAGTGCTGGAATGAAGCTCCCTGATAGGACGGCTTACCCGACCCACAAAGTCTTCGTCGTTCGCCGTCCCGTACAGAGCAGGGTTATGTGCCCACCCTTTGCCCAAATCAATTTCAGCACGAAGGTTCATCTGAACGTGCTTGAAGCAGTGCAGCTTCGGAGTAAATCGGTACAGGAGCAAATGCTGTCCATAGGCCCATGTCGCCAGCTTATAATAGGTCGACAGAAAAGTGACCAAGGATGCTTCAGCTTGCACGGCGAGGATCTGTTTCAGCCACTGGCGACTCGGAGCTGTATAGCCTCACAAAGCTCGCAGCAAACACAGTACACATCCCCTATTCGAACGGATTTGAACAGGACCCTAATCCAAAATTACCGGGTCTTTCGTGTCTACAGACATACTGTACACAGTGATTAACCATAGAATAGGGTTTAGGGTTTAGGGTTTAGGGTTTAGGGTTTAGGCTTTAGGGTTTTGGGCTCCTTTATAGTACTAGTAGCGTTAGTGTAATAAGGAACCCTAACAGTAATATTGGTCGTTGCTTAGGCTGCTATATTAGGCCTGTGGCGTTGTGGCATTGGCGACGGCTGGCCTCACTGAAGGCAGCGGCAAGGAAACTCATGATTTAGGGTTTAGGGTTTGGGGCGTTAGATTTCAGGGTTTAGGGTTTGGGATTTAGGGTTTGGGTCGTAGGGCTTTTAGGATTTAGGGTTTGGGGTTCATAGGGTCCTTTTCAGTGCTGCTTCAAAGCTACTATTTTCATGGTTACTATGGGGCTTGGGGTTCTTTGAAGGTCAGTAGAAGGGTTACCACGAGGGGTTTTACGGGTATGTATCCTTAAACCCTAAACCCTAAACCGGGGGCTTAGAGTCTGAGGGCTGACGGGTTTGGGAGTTCAGCAGCTTTATGTTTAGAGAGATTAGGGCTCAGGGGATTACAGTATGGATTTTAGGAGGATGGCCAGTACAGCCTAGTTCTGATATCTGAACCCATATCGGCTCGGCTCAAAAGCAGTTAAAATCTCTGAAAATGCACATCCTTGTAGACAGCCTAAACCCTAAACCTTAAACCCTAAGCCCCAAACCTTACACCCTAAACCGTAAGCCAGACACATGCCGTGCCCGAGGGGACCGGAAGCAAGCAGCAGAGGCGGTTGAGGGTATACCAAGGCTCGAGGAGCTCTGGTTTAGGGTTTTCGGTTTAGGGTGCGGCAGTCGCCGTCTCCGAAATAAGAACTGGCGCACCTATCCTAAACCCTGAACCCCAAATTGAAGGTTTAGGGTTTGTGAAATTTACATAAAGTTTTGAGCACCCATCCTAAACCCAGAACCCCAAATTGTTGGTTTAGAGTTTATGAACTTTAAACCCTCTACTACAAGTTTGTTTATCATCTTTCCGGCTCGGTGCGAATCCGCTTCAGGGGCTGCCTTCACGTCAGAATAACCGGTCCTTTCTTAAGACATATGTAAGGAAGCTATAGTGACGCAAACCCTAAACCCTAAACCCTAAACCCTAAACCCTAAACCCTAAACCCTAAACCCTACGCACACTACGCATGTACATGTTCTGGGGTCTCGGTTTGGTAAACTCGCGTTTTGGCCTTGCCAAAGCCTCAGCCGAAAAATCGCAGACTGATTTGATATGATATATGGTCGATATGCCAACCCTCATCCCTAAAACCCCTGAACCCACACCTCTAAACCCTTACACCCTTAACCTGTACAATAATTAGAACAGGGGTTAGGGTAGATAAACCCTCCCCCCTAAACCCTGAGCCCTTTGCCTCTAAACCCTAAACCCACGCAGAAACCGTGCAAGCGAATCGAGCTAGGTCAACGGACTTCCCTTCGAATGTTGGGAGCTAGGATGCTAGCTTCGGGTTTAGGGTCTGCGGGCTCTAGGGTTTGGGGCTCAGGGTCAAGGGCTCTAGGGTTTAGGGTTTAAGGCTGTAGGGTTTTAGATTGTGCCGGTTGTAGAATTTAGGATTTGGGATATAAGTGTCGAGGCATCCCAATCTATAGATGGGGTCTAATGAGTGCTTTCAGTGGCAGATGCCAAAATCGCTGAACCTGCGAAGCCAAAAGCCCTACGCCTGCAAACAGCCCGGGTGCCTCGGGCTAGTGGCGCTTCCGGACGCCTTTGAAGAAAGAGAAAGACAGGGTTGAAAAGATCAATGCGGCAGTTACTATGTCACTATGTAAAAGGTATAAACAATTAGAACGATACGACTACCCTACTCCCTTTGAGTGGGACAGCGGTGCTTGTATCTCTACCTGTACTGAACCTAACTACTGTAGTAGAAGCCAGAAAGTTGGAACATTATTCTCCTCATGCCCTTAAGGTAAAGTATAAGGGATCCTAGCACTAATCTTCTTAAACCCATGTTCCAACTTTCTGGGGTTCGCTGTAAGTCCCCAGAGCCTCTAACGGTAACGCCCTGGCTATCGCAATTATGTGGAGTCGATTTATGTATGCGCCCGGGAAAACTAAAAATTATTAAACCCCAGGGCTCTGAGGACCCATAGTTTATGGCTTTTGGGCCCAAAGACCATACTATATAAGGCATCTGGGCGATTTTGAGCCTATGGGGAAACGGTCTACACAGCCCAAGAATTCGGGATATACCTTCAACGGTCTGGGGTTCAAAACCCTAAACCCTGAACCCTAAACCCCTGAATCCCTAAACCCTGAACCCTAAACCCCTAAACCACTAAACCCCTAAACCCTAAAACCTAACAGCGCTTCAGGAGACCAGGAGGGTCTGCTAGGCTTGCGAGTTTACACTTTCGAGCCTGTCTAGGGCTGAGGGCTGACGAAACCCTTGCGCCGGAAACCTGTAAACCCTGTAAATCCTACACCCTAAAGCCTACTTGGAGGCCCAGGGGACTTAGTAAGTAGGTTACAAGTAGAGTAATAAGTGCCCTAGGTGGAGTTACCCCAGTTTTAACCCTACTTATAACCGACTTGCTAAGTCCCCTAAGCCTCTAAGTACACCCTGTTCTTCAAATCCTGAACACCACGCCCGAAGTCCTGAATGCTAACATAGTGGGCTGAGCAACTTTTGAGAGAATGAAGGCCCCTGTATGGGTAGTTATCTAAGCTAGGGTCCCTTTTAGTGTACTTTCATAAGCGTACCGTACTATGTGGGGACCTGAAAAGGGATCCTAACGTGAAAACTACCTACATTACACTCAGAACCTCGGTTTGGGTTTGGGGCTTTGTGGGCTTTAGAGGCAAAGTCGTCGGCCTTTCTGTGCCTTGGTTTCAGGACTGAACACCTTAGACCTGGACAAGCAAAAGCCGTACGTTGTAAGGCTTCGTTGGCGTCGTGGGTGTCGTTAGGGTTTAGGGTTTAGGGTTTAGGGTTTAGGGTTGCGAGGAGTTCTTGAAGATTTACGGACAGTTGATGGTTGTGAACGAGGCTAGGAGTAGATGATGCCTTGGACGATGGATATCGTTGCCTTACTCTGCGCCGTGTCTTTAACTGTTTCGTATCCTGTATGCAGGAGCCTTTGTTAAAGTAATCCCCTAAACCCTAAACCCCTAAACCCCTAAACCCCTAAACCCTAAACCCCTAAACCCTAAATCTTGTAATACCTTCGAGCCTCAGAGCAGTAACCCCTATATAACACTTAGCCCTACACCCGATCACCGAAGCACAGGCTTTCAAGGACGCGGCGAGGGTCTTGATCGCGTTTTGCGAAGACTTGGCCTCGGTACATCGGACTTGACTGAGCGAGTGAATCGGGGTTTTGGGGTCTAGTAGGGTTCAGGGTTGAGGCCTAAACCGTAAACCCTAAACCCTAAAACTCTAAACCCTAAACCCTAAAACCCTCGGGTTTAGGGCTTATGATTAGGGCTCGGAAGGGATTAGGCGAGTTGTGCGACCACCTGCGCATTTTCGGCTTTGGGGTTCAGGTTTTGAAGCTTCTGAGTTCAGGGAGAGGGCCGCAAGGAGCGGGTTTTAAGTAGGGGCCGAAATAAGAAAGAATAGGGTTTTGGGGTATATATATATATATATATATAGTAAAGGAACACCCAAAAAATAGTATTGGTAATTATTTAGGCCCCTGTATTTCGGCTGGGGGGCTTGACGGCTTTAGCGCTTTAGGGTTTGGCTGTCGGACATAAGGCTCAGATTTAGAGTTCAGGGTTTAGGGGTTTAGGGCTTCAATGGTGGCCCAAACCCTCACAGGGAAGTTTCGAAATACGAAGCCCTGATACCCTGCACGTCCCTCTACATTCATATATATATATATATATTTGTATTTATATTATGTACATATATATATATATATACAGAGGCAACTTCTTGCTTGAATGCCTTTCCCCATCTGCAGCTCAGGATTCCGTGTCTAGCCTTTCCGGATGTTTAGGGTGTAGGGTTCCAAGGTTTAACTGCTGAAAATCATGCTTTGAAAAGGCCCACATACCAAACGAACCCTGGAAAGTTCCCGATCAGGATGAAAGGGTAGCTATGTCCAGGGCAAGCGAAGCTTTTGGCTGCGATGCTCGCCGACGTTCGTCGGGGTCCTAGATCCCGAAGAAGGCGCCACCTTGCAGTCTTCTTTGACACCTTCGCACAGGCCCCTCTCGCGGTGGTGGGGCTTGCGCGCGGGCTTGTGGGAGAGGTGCCGGCGCTCGGCCTCGGCATTGGACGACCAATGCCCCGTGGACGCCGCACGGGCGATCTGCTGGCCTCAGGCTCATCGCCCAAGTGCACGAAGGCGGATCTTGTTGGGCTGCAGTGCTGTGCTTGGAGCTTATAGGTTGTAGGGTTTGTGCAAGGTTTAGGGTTTAGGGGTTATAAGGGTTAAGGCGTTCAGAGCTTAGGGCTTGTTTCGAGTTTGTGAGACATCTTACATACGATTTCCTCTTGTGACCATTGACTTGCAAAATACATGAGGCAGAGGAACATCAGCTTCCTGAGGTTACGAACGACTGTCTTCTTCGCATGGTCAGTTTTCATTTTCCTTCTATGTGCAAAAAGGGCAACTCGTTGGAGGTCCGAAGAAGCAATGCCAAACAATAGCAACCAAGCAGCCTGATGGGCCTTTATATGTTGACACACACACACACTGTTGCGTTACATATATGTATATGTATACGTGCGTATACATATATACAACTTCTATGTGTGTATATATATATATAGACTATACATGATCTATGCAATAATATAGGCTACCCTATGCACTGAATATCTTCGAGCTCCACTTGGGCCCCCGCCCAAGCCGCCTTCGACGCCTGTGACAAAATTGTTGCCTGGCGGGTAAAAGAGCTTAAGGGCTACCGGTGTAGGGCTTCTAGAGTTTCTGGAGTTCGGGTTTAGGGCTTAAGGAATTTAGGGTTGAGGGCAGAAAGGAGGTTTCAAGCAACTCTTCGGGACGCAACTTCGTCCATCTTGCGGCCACCACGTGAACCGAACTCAGCAGCGTTCTGTCTAGCTCAAGTTGGAAAAGCCGAGAGCGTTTAGGGTTTTAGGGTTTAGAGGACGTTGAGGTTTTTGGAAGGATACCGGATGCCTAAACCAGACTCAGAGTTCGGGTTCTGTTGATGTAAGGACACTATGATACACCTCCCCAATGCTACTACAGAAACCAAAATTGTCCAAACCACAAGGAACTTGTCATCAATTTCGACAATAGTTGAAGATTTGGGTGTTGGAGGGTTACGAATATCTTCGCACATCTGTGATTGAGTGCAGACATGTTTGCACGGTTTAGGTCCCTGGATCGAAAGGGTTCAGTCCTAAACCTTTACACTCAAGCCTATAATGCAGGGGCCTTAATAATTAGAATAGGGTTTTGGGGGGCTCCTTAGTACAATTATGGTATACCCCAAACCCTATTCTAAATACTAAGGCCCCTACAGTATGTTACATGTTTCGCTTGGGCCCGAAATGCTCGACATTTCTGGGCGTTCAAAGAGTTCCGGATATTGGGGGGGGCTGCAAGATCCAGCTTCAAAAGCCTAAATCCTGAAACAATGTAATAGTTAATAATTTCCACGGTTTAGGGTTTAGGGTTAATTTTTGTTCGGGGTGTATTATAATATACTGCACTTGTGATGAGGAAGCCGCAGAATAGTATACGTACTTATTTATGGTGCCTATATTACAAGTGTGGTCCACTTTGCGTTCCAGGACGGGCCTCTTTGGCATCACATCCCAGGAGCAAGCCTAGAATTGCCAGCTCGGGATAGATCTTCCCCTGCATGGACTGGGCGGATTGATCCCAAACCGGGCGTTTTGGAAGGGCGCGAGATTCCGCTTGGTAGAAACCCGCTTCAGACCTCAACCCTCAACGAGAACTTACAGGGGCCTTCTGCGAAATGAATCCGAAACGCCCGCCCTGCTCTGGGGGCTGGTGCCAGGGCGGCGGGGTGGTTGATGCACTACTTAAACCAAGCCCCAAAGGTTCAGACGCTGGCAACAACAATAACAGAAACCTTGCAAGGAACCGCAAAAGGCAGCCCATCTTGCACTTCTCGTACTTGCAAGGAAGCGCAAAAGGGAGCCCATCTTGTACTGAGTGACCTGACGAGACACTCCAAACGTAGACCCTGATTAATACACCCCTCTCCCCCAATAAGGAGTCGAATAGGGATCATCCTGATGACCGAAGGTGGCCTTAATGGTTAGAATGTGGTTTGGGGCTCCTTTATAGTATACTTATAACTATAATAAGGAACCCTGAGGAATAATCTTGGTACCTATTTGGTCTTCGATATTAATCTCAGCCCCTTTAAAGAAAGGCGATCTGTTAATCATTGCTTTATATTGTTTGGATCCAGGTGGTCGCTGTGATAACGTAAATATGGAAGCTCAGAGAGCATGGCACAGTTGAAACTACCAGATACCCACGGAAGGTTCAGGGTTTAGGGTTTAGGGTTTAGGGTTTAGATGAAAAACAAATGCTTCTAACCGACACGCTAAGCTAGCCAAACAGTTGACCTCAACTCTCACTAAGTCACATGACTCTAGAATGACAAAAGGCGAAGGGTAGTTGTTTTTCAGTGCTGCCCGTTACGAAGGCCTTATCCGAAAACATGGACATAGAACGGCCAAAATATAAACGTCATATAGGGGCCTGGATGATTAGGGATTGGGGGCATAATCAAGTGCATTTGTTTAAGGAGCCCTGAGGAATAAGCTTAGCAGTTGTTTTGGGTCCCCCTGTATTGCATATGTTGTTGGGTAGTTCTCTAAATTAGGATCCCTTCTGAAGTTCCCGAAGTAGCACGGCACCGTTTTTAAAGGGACCCCTAATTTACAGAACTGCCCACATAGAACCCTTACATTACCCTTTATGGACACCCTTATAATTAAGGAACCCCGAATAGGGATCCAAATTTAGAGAACTACCCATGTAGAACCCTTAGATTACCCTTTCTTGAAACCCCTATGGAACCCTCTGAGGAACCCCAAAAAGGCACCCTAAATTAAGAGACCCTAAACCCTAAACCTTGCTCCAGGTGGCGACAGGTGACACGACCTTAGACCCTCTGCTTCAGACCCGAAACGATCGAAGCCCCAAGGGTGCACGTACCTGGATGGAATATACATATACAGATACACACGTACACATATATGCGTGTGTATATATTTCTATGTATATTATGTAGATACCCTTCATACCTACATCGGAGCTTCTGGTAGAACAAAGCTTCTGCTATACAGGCGCATGGACCCTGATGATGTGAACCCTCGAAATGCAGGCTCTGTATGCCATCGCCTTGGCAGCGCCACCTGCCACAAATTGGTGTGTTGCGGGTCTCCACGCTAAAGCAACGGCTCATAGGGGTTTGGGGTTTAGTCAGGGTCCTCGTAAACCTTGAGCCCGGGAAGTTAAACGTGGCCACAAACTCGATTGCCCAAAATCCTATGCCTGAACTGCTAAGGCCGTGAGCCCCCCAGATACTATAACACGACACCTTCTCAAAGGTCAAGGAGTGCTGAATGTAACCCCGGCAAACCTAAATGGTTGATCCCCCAAGCATTCATGGCGCGATAACTTCAAGCCTGAACCCTGAACGCAGAATGCTGCATCCTGAAAGAGTTCAGGGTCTAGGCTTTGTAGTGTTTGCGACTTCGGTTTTGCGGATATATGGCATTCGGCTAACCCAAGGGTCCAAGTATTCCTTATTATGGGCCTTTCGGACCTTCTTTTTGGATGCCAAAAATCAGTAAATGAGGACTTCCCTTACCCTGAGGGTCAGGGTTTCCTACTGTAGTTATACGATAATAGAGGCCAGAAACCCTATTCTATATCTTAAGGTGAAGGCCCCGATTAGATATGGGTACTTCTCTAAATTGGGGTCCCTTTTATAAGGGAGCCGTGCTATATTGGTGACCTAAAACAGGACCCGAATTTGGAGAACTACCCTTATAGTACCGTTATAGGAAGCCCATAGCAACCCTTGTAGAGCCCTTTAAGGAACCCCTGAAAAGGGGATGTAGGGTTTAGCATTTATGCGACTCGAGACTTGGTGTGAGACATCAGCTTCGACGGGGCATCCTGAGAACGAAGACACACCCTGCCCTGGACTGCAAATGAACACTGACATATAATATAAGCGTGATTTAGGGAAGTAATTATCCCCCATAGCAGCACGTAGGACCGTTTGAGTGTGTGTGTGTGTGTGTGCAAGTTGGGGCACACGTCAGGCAACAAGAGTCGCGAACGACATAGACTTTTACAGCCGCGCACACCTGTAAGCACAACTCAGGAAGTGACACATGAAGCTCGTCAGAGTTACCTGTTGAACCCTCAAGAAAAAACGCCCAAAGCTGAAAAGCCCCTCCCGCAGGATGTAAACACCGCAGCATCAAGGCACGCCCTTTCTTGTCTTGGCAGCTTGCCATCGCATATCTTGTTGCGACGCCTGGCTGCTCGAATTGGATGCTAGCATGCAATTCAAGCACCCTGAGCGTCCATGTAGTCATATAGTGTACACTTTGGCCTTACTGTAGACCCCATAACGGTGCTCTAGAAATATATACTACTCGTATATTCACACAGTATAGACTTTGGCCTTAATGTAGACCCTATAATATATATATATATATATATGGTCAGTGCCCAAGTATATACTATGTGTCTGCATAGACTCCCAGGGCTAGGAAGGAATTTCATACACCCAGCTTGGAAGCCCTTACCTCTCCGATCCGAAAGTTAAGCCGAAGCGGGATGCTCCCGGCTGCCATCAACCCCCTAACCCCAAAACCCTACACCCTGAACACTAAACCCTGAAGTTGGGGTATTAAGGTTTAGGGCCATCCTTACACCCTAAACCCGAGATCTGATCGCAAGAATTAGAGCATTGAAATGCTGCCGCTTCAGCTCGAGCTGCAAGCGGCTTTGAAAAGCATCCTGAATTCCTCCTTTCCGTTGCAGAAATGACAAAGTTTTCCGAGACCTCAGGGGGTGAAGATGCTCGGAAATCCACCTGGCAGGGGTGATTCGGATATACAAGGACTTTATACATACAGGTGTGTTTACGTGTATGTGTATATATGTATATGTACGCATGAGCTTAAGCCACACAAACGCACCCGACTGCTGTGTAGCTAGACACATAACTCGTGTATTGTGCGTGTGACAACAACACACTACTGTACTGCGGTAGGGCGAGAGTTTGACCCACTTGCTTCTTCTTGGAATTAGAGGCCCCTATTCCCCCGTAGAATCCTAACAACAGGGCTGTCCGGATACTCCTCCCGGAACATTAAAGTAGTATAATTTCAAAACGGCGTATAAAATACTGCGCTGGCCAGGCCACGTAAATCGCACTTTTCGGTACTCCGCTACTCCGCAAAATGTTTCAAGAGACGAAAGGCCCTGTAGGTCAAAACTTTCGTCCTTTCGATGTATTTCGAATATTCGAGGGGTCGCCGCGCGTGAAGGAACCCTCAGCCTTCGACCCTTGCCCTCACACTCTGAACCCTAGTTGGCCCGGCTGGGTCGGCTGGCCGGGCTGGGTTTGACCCGACCAGATTGGCAAGGTTGGGGATAAGACCGGCAAGGTTGAAAATAATACAGGCAAAGGTTGGGAATAAGACAGGCAAGGTTGGAAATCAGATGTTCAAGGTGGAAATGAAGATTCTCTTTCCCTAGGGGCGTA